GTGTGTGTGTGTGTGTGTGTGTGTGTGTGTTGTCGCCGAGGACCCTTCCACACGCGAGGATGCGCGCGCGCAAGCACGCAGGCCTCCAGTACGTGCACTATCCCTTCTGCATCTGATTGACCGATTTCATTCCTCAATTTTTTTTCCGTAAAAAAAAGAGAGAGAGAGGGAAAAGAAGACGAAGAATAAATTCGGGGGTTGGTAACAACAAGAGAACCTACCTGGTTATGGAAAATTTCAAAGAAGCCGGCATGAGCCGAAACGACGGCGGGTGGAAATTCTCGTGGCATCCTCGTCGCCTGCCTGTATGCCCAATAAGAGGCTACTTTCTTCCAGATTAACGGCTGGCCACGCCACGTGGAGGCCAGCAGCGGGTGCGAATGACTTGACGATCCGATCTGATACCGTCTCCTTCTCCCGGTGACGAGATTGGTGTGCGCGTTCTGCAGCGGCGGTGGCGGAAGCTGCCGCGGCGGTGGTGAGCAGCGACCAGGATGCGCCGCTGTCATACACCGCCAGGTGTCCGTGTCGGCAGAAGATCCCATGCCCAGCGGGCGGCGACTCGACACGGCGGACGCCGCCCAGGCGCCGTGCGAGGCATCTCGAACAGTCACTGCGCGGGAACAATTCGTATAAAGTTTTCCACTATCTAAAATTCTGCTGTATACTATGCCACCGGCACAGGTACGCCCAGCAGAAAGCGCGGGCGGACGGGCCAGAGCAGGGGAACAAGGGGCCACGCACCCGCTTGGTTCCTTCCCCTCGACAGCCCGCCACTCCCTCCCACCAGAGCTACTACTACGGCCGCTGCGGCGCTGGTTGCTGCGCATGCCTCGCGCGGTACGTCCGCGGATTTTCCCAATCAACACGAAAGAAATTGTGGACGGCCAGTCATGAGCCCTGACTACTGGTAGAACCTCCATGGCATCCGACGTGGCGCCGCGCGTGGACGGCAGCTACGTGGCATAGGCCGTCGACTGCACGTCACGTCGGCCTCCGAGATCTTCATCAATCAACAACTATTGCTGACCTTGCAGTTTAGTCTAGTTCAATTCAACGCGTCAGTGCCCAAAGCACCGGGGTGGCAAACCCCTCGCCCGGAGACCGGGGACATGCCCCACTACCCTGCGCGTTCCAGGGCTACAACTATTTTTCTGCTACTTGTCAACGTGGTCACACTGTGGCCGGGAGATTTTAAGATCGATGGCAGGGACATGTGCGAGCTCAAGGCCCTGTTTTTTTTCGCAGCCCTAAACCACCAGTACCTCCGAGCCTGTTTTTGCCGACCCTGAATTTCACTGCGTTTCGAGTTTGCCGAGCCTGGGTCCCACCCCATTTCTTTATGGTACTCTCACGGGGAGAAAAAAACGGAAAAAATAAAAGAAAAGTTGGGGCCGTGAAACTCACAAAAAAGTGGCAGACCGCCGCCTACCCAAGCAAGATCGAGCGTGGGAGGTCCAAGTGGGGAAGCTTACCGTAGTGAGAGAGGGAAGTCCAGCGGTGGTCAAAGGGCTCTAGTGACAAGACAAAGCCAGCTCGTACTTCAACAACAACAGCATCAAGGAGCTTTCAGGCCGTACACGCCTCAAGGGATGCAAGTACCAAGACAAGATCAACCGTTTCAACCATACTACCCAGCTCCACTAGGGTACAATAATTATGCTCGACAGTCATAAGGAGCCAGGGAGTGTAGCGGACCTCGGGTTGGCCTGTGAGACCAGCCCCTTGGCCTGTTCTCACAGGCCTGTGTTATATTCGGGGTAGGCCAGTCCAGGCCGGTACCTCTGTC